TCATCTGGTACTTGGAGTGAATATAGGCAGATGCAGAAGATGCTCTGACATCAATTGAGAGGACAGATAAGGGGTAATTTGTCATTGTAATGCCAAATTTAAAAGTGTTACAAACAGGCACATTGTCACTCTTATTTATTTGATTAGTTTAATATAGAAGACAACAATGCATCTTAAGGACCCCTTAAAACAACAGAATTTTATAGTCTAGTCAGCTTTTACACTTCTTTTTTGGTGTTTTTTAATCATAATATCTTCTGTCAAATCCATCCATTAATTTATTTTACCCATTTTTTTTAATTCCTATTTTCCTTGCCCCACCTAGTCGCATATACTTTTTGTACATTCACCGCTAGTCTACCTGTGCAATTGGCAACTTGGAAGCGCTTCAGTGTGCCATCCTCACAATCTGGGCATTCTCGACACCAGCAAGACATTTGAGGCAGTGGTCGGCGTGCTGAAAATGAATGCAAGTACCAAGTCGAGTTTGTGTCCTTTCCGGGGGTCGTGATCCCGATAGTTGTGGTGCTAGTAGTATTTGTGGTACCATATGGATCAGTGAGAAAACACTCCGTCCAGTCGAGTGAGCTGAGACGAAAGGATGGCCAATCGAGCATCTGAAACCTATCAATTTGGCGAGTGGATGGGCAATCTTAAAAAAAGTGGATGAGGAAATAAATATTGTTATAAGGTAATCTATTAATACTTTTATTCAAACCATCGAGGCTGAAAAATATTAGACTAAAATCCTGTGCAGTTTTAGCTAACTGTCCCCTTACTACATTACATAATAAAGGCAGGTCCTTATTTTCATCCGTGTAGGTGGTGTAAATTCCCAGTTTTCCTCGAAGCTGAGTGTTTTAAGTATAAAAAGGCTAAAAACTTATCGAACCGATAGTGTGCCAAATAAATTCAACAAATTGAATATTATTTAGGAACGTTAAATGCATTTAATAATTTATTAGACGAGTTAGTTAAGGATCATTTAACCAGTGATTGCCAAATATGTCCACATGAAACCAGATTTGGTCCGCTCGTAGTAGCATAATCAGGTTCGCCAGTGCTTTTTCAGGTAAATTCTTAGGCTCCAGCTTCGATGAAGAAAATGACTTGGCTATATTAAAGCTCTAAATTGACCCTGATGAATTTTATTAATGAACAGAGTTTCTTATATACAAATAAAGGAATTATCTAAGTTGCGTCAAAATCGATTGGTTGAATCTGCTGCTGATTAGGAAAAAATTCTCTTTAACAGAACAGAGTAGGTTAAGCAATCTACTCGCAGATACCTATTAAGCTTGGCATTGTCCTTAACATTACATGTAATAATTAGGAATCAATTTACGGAGATGAGTTGTCTCTAGAGCTTTAGATGCTTCCTATCCGCACTCCTATTGAACTCTGGCCTCATAAGTAACGGATATCATCACAAATAAAGAAACCTAGGACTATCTTCTAGCCAAAATTAAAGTTTTTATGAACTAAGAGATAATTTAACATCTTCATCCCTTCTGGGAAAAGCTTGCGCCCAATAGGTCCAAATAATAAAGCAGAAACTACTTTAAATGACCCGGCCTTATGTTTTGGAGTAAGGGTTAATGTTTTTACATTCAAATCTATGTCTACTCAATTCCTTTCGATGGAAAATTGCTTGGTAATTTTTTTAAAGAGATTCTTCAGAACTAATGTAGAAAAACTGAGTTTCAAAGAATCCTTTAATAGATTCATGTTAAGGTATCTTTCATTTCGTTTAAAGAGATTAGTGCAAGGGATTCGTAAGTTGGTTCCACTAGTAGCTGTGGGAGGTTGCCTTGGAGCTGTGGTTATAGATTTGTAAGTATAGGTCCTCAGCGCACCGACCCGCGACCCCGATGGATCCTTGGATCAGAGCAGGATACCATGGTTAAGGATAATTCACCAAAG